TGCTGGCCTCGCTCCCAGAGCTGTCAATGCGCCAGCGGACCCTGGCCTGATGGATGTTAGGACTATGACTGGGCCCAGCACTGACGTTGATTTACCCAAGAGCAGCTTGAGACAGGCCCGCCCTTTGTTGAGGACTGCATGAGGCTGCAAGTCAATGTCCCGCTCTTGCCAGGCCCAGCAGCAGATGTAGCACCGCCAGCTGTGACAGCCGACAGCCTCGACAATGTACAGAAGCAGGTGTACGCCTGCATTGTTGAAAACGTCTGGCGCAGCAGGCAGGTGCTATTCATCCTGAATGGCACGGCTGGGACTGGCAAGTCTCGGGTCAGTGGCGCCATCTCTGGCGCACTGGAGCCAGAGGAGGTGCTGTGTGCGGCCTTCACTGCCAAGGCTGCCTTTGCAATTGGTGGCACCACCTTGCACTCGCTTCTCAGCATCGGCTCCAGGTGGTCGCTGCTCAGAGGCAGGAGCCTCCAGGACCTGCAGGAGGCCTTCAGGCCTGCAAAGCTCCTCATCGTTGACAAGTACTCAATGGTGAGCGCAGAGATGCTTGGCAAGATTGACTCCAGCCAGGCTCAAGCAGGCCTTTCTCTCTGACATGCCTTTTGATGGCCTGTCAGTGCTGCTTGTGGGTGACCTGGCCCAGATACCCCCCCCCCCTCCCCCCCCCTCCCCCCCCCCCCCCCCTGTTGCTGAGACTCCCCTCTACAACTCTGCTGCTGCAGCCAACGCTATAGGCAGGACACCTTGCCTTTCAGCACTTTCACCTGACCACAAGGCTTGTCCAGGTGCACCGGCAGCAGGTTGCTGCCAACGACCACGACCAGGCCGCCTTTGTGCAGATCCTGGCGGGCCTCAGAGACGGCAACATGACCATGGACCAGTGGAGGTTTCTGATGAGCACCTGCAGCAATGAGCGTGCCCATGCAAGCCAGGAGCTCCATAACCGCTTTGCCCTTGCCCCCCATCTCTTCTTTGCAAACAAGGATGTCCAAGCACATAACTGTGCCAGACTCAGGGCCCTCGGTTCTCCTGTTGCTTGTGTTTCTGCCCACAACGTGCCTCAGAGCGCCAAAGGGCTGAGCCCAGATGCCTTTGAGGGCCTGGAGAATGTAATCTACCTTGCAGTCAGCGCAGGGGTCTGTCTGACCAACAACAAATGGAAGGCAGCTGGCTTGAATAACGGTGCTGGAGGAACGGTTGTTGATATTGTCTTTGGCACCCAGGATTCGGCTCTCCCACTGTTTGTGGTGCTTGAGATGGATGTCTACAATGGACCACCCTTCCTTCCTGACCGCCCAAGGACTGTTGCAGTGGCCCCTTGACCAGTACCGCACCCAGCTTCCGCTTCGCCTTGCCGAAACGGCTTGCAAGCTCTGAAGGGGTGAGAAGAGGAATTGCCCTTGATCATAGGCTGGATCAGTTGTCCATTCTTTTGTGACTCTTCCTTCCTGCTTAGTGTTTTTTTTAATCCTGCACTGTGTGCTGGATTATAAATATACAAGCAGGCGAGTCGCAAGGCTCTGCCTTCAGATATCTTTTATCTGCTAATCACTGATTGGCTGAAGAAATGTTTGGAGCATGGTGTTCGAAGGACGAGGCTTTCCCCTTTAGGGACAAACCTTCCCAAACTTCGTTTTCTCCATCGACCAATGAATTCTCGGCTCTCCACCCTTAAAAGTGCCCTCAACCGTTGAGGTTCGAACAGGTGTCTGTCTCGACGTCAAGGTTTTCACCTGCAAGCCAGGTGATCAGGAGAACGCTCTGGACAGAGGCTTAGTCAAACACATGTTCTAATTGCGACGTGGCTGGATCCCGAACTGCCTGTCCCGCCACTCGGCTGGTTCGGAGGAGGCTCAAAAACGCGCACAACACAACCCATAAAAGGGAGGAGCTGTTTGGCGGCAAAGACATTCCTCTCTCAGCGATGGACAGAGGGAAAGACAGACTCTCTTCCCCAAGTTTGGTTCAGCCATTACCCAGTGCTCTGTTTGAAACCTTGAACCTCTTGAGAGCCTTGTCAGTTTCTTTTCTCTGTTTTCCAACACTTGCTTTTTTCCTTTCTTTTTTTCTCCTTTTTATAATGAAAGTTGGGCAATTGGTCTTTGAAACCCGAAAAAGTTGGAGCTTCCTCTGGGGCCTGGCTGTGCGCGTGTGTACCAGACCGATTGCAGAAACATTGTCAAGCTTCAGTGAACGCATGCAAACTTCGGTGGCAATGTGCGTGCCTTGCTCCTTTGCGCTCTGCTTTTCTCCCTCTGTGTCTCTCTCTCTCTCTCTTTTTTTTTTTTTTTTTTTTGGAAGCCTTATCCAAAGATATCCACACCAGGATTTTCAGCTTTAAAAAAAACGTAATAAAGGTTCTTATAAGGCGGGCGCATCATCTGTTACTGTGAGGGGGAACTGGATTGGAGGAATGTGAGAGGGTAACAAGCACAAGTGGGAGGCTATCACTTGTCTCTTCTTGGTGTGAGGAGTGTGAGTGGTGTGTGTGTGATGAGCAGAAGGGGGAAGAGGGGGCGAGGGGATACCCCCCTTGTTTCCACCAGCAGGGGCTTGTTGACAGTGGTAAAATTGAAAAATTCAATTGCTCTGTGAATTGGAACTCAAAAAAAAAAAAAAGAAAGAAAGAAAGAAAGAAAGCCTCAGGCTTACCAGCGGTTCAGGGTAACCGTTCATTCACTGCCCCAGACTCCATCCAAGCCAACCATAGTTTGAACCAGACCCTGAAAAAACCTTCCCAAACAATGGTGAAGCTCCCAGAGATCCCACACCACTGAGACGGCTCTGAAACCTCGTGTTGGGATGAGGAGAGTCAAGTGACTTGCGTTTGGATGCTGGGTTTGATAGGAAGGCTGTCAGGCGGAACTGACTGGTTAGCAGAAAGAGGCACAAGATGGACCCGAACCTATTGTGACTGTCAGTTATCATTCTCACGATGCCCACAGGAGAGCTAGGCACCGCCAATGCAGACCTTGGCGCTGGCTTGCGCTGATGACAAATACTCCAAGTATTAAGTGGAATGGAAACCCAGTGTCAACAGTTTTCCTCCTCCTCTGCTCAAGCAGATAATATAGGAGAGGTTTTTACCCTGTGCCAGTCATGCTTGCCTTGCAACTATTACAGCGTTTATATCATCATCATGTATCAATAATTCATAACAGAGTTTTTCTCTTTCTCTCCAAGTTGGGGAGAAGGACCACCCACAAACACACATCTCCACTTCATTCACTCCTTCCACTCACTCACTCAGAGTAGACTGTTTACAGAGGCAATCAATGCCCACCTTTGGTAAGTGCATTTGAGGAGAAGACCAGCACCTCCTATTCAGGCCTCTTTGACAGACCAGAGCAAGTATGATCTTGAAGGATCTAACTTACATATTACTGCAATGATTCCCACCCTATCGATGTCTTGTCAAAGCGATTCTCAGCAGCCAGTGAAATAATTTAAATCAGTTCAAAATTTCTATCGGGCAGATGGCCGAGTGGTTAAGGCGCCAGATTTAGGCTCTGGTCTCGCAAGAGGCGTGGGTTCGAGCCCCACTCTGCTCAGAGCAGGCCCAGTTGAATTAACCTCTAGTCATACGAGCCAACTCACTGAAATATTCAAATGAGTTTGCTGTTGCCAAATGAAAACCTGCAGCTGCTCGGAACTGTTTCTGACTAAAATCTTCGGATCACAAACGAAAAAAAAAAATGATACCAAACCAACCACAAGGGGTTGTTTGTCGTCTGCGCCCCTCCAACAACAAACCCATTTTCGCGAAAACAAACAAAAATTAAGCGACAGGCTGGCGCCGGCTGCACAGAGGTTGCGCATCAACAAAAATGGGGATGACTTTGGCCTGTATCTGATTTCATCAGATGGATGTTGATGCTGCTGATGCCAGAGTGCCATCTGCAATGCCCAATGTGTTGAAGTGGTGACTGATGTGTTGAGAGTGAGTCTGATGTGTTGCTGATGTCGCAGATTGATGACCGCAAAGGTTTCAGACGGAGACCTCGGTCTGAAACTTTCAGCAAAACCAGTTCCAAACCGAGTGAGCCCAGCCCAAGACCGAGGAGGCAAAAAAATACCCATGCATTGCCAGAAATAATGATAATAATAATAATAACATAATAATAATATAATCATAAAAGTGATGATCAAACTCGACTTTTTCTCTTTTTTCTTCTTTTTCCAATATGTCGCTTCAGCTCCCGGCTAAAACTGGCATAAAAACCAGCGCGAACCAAGGCCCTGTTTTGGGGCAAAATCCCGAAAATTTCGTATCAGTCTGAATTCTTCAATGACCGCAATATCGGTAGTTTTTTGAGACAGTGGTGTTGCGATATGTAGGCGAAACTGACTGATTAGCAGCAAGGGGCACAAGACAGACGTGAACCTATTGCAACTGTCACTGGAAGTTATCGTTCTCATGATGGCCATGGGGAGAGCAAGCCACCACCACTGCAGACCTGGGCACTGGGTTGCACTGTTGACAAACACTCGTGGAACAGAAACCGGGTGTTGAGGAAAGCAGCCGTTTGCCGGATTCCAATGTCTGGGAAAGGCCAAAGTCCTGCTATCAGCAAGTGTCTTGCCACTGTTGGCTGTTTGTTTGTTGTTTGCACTCCCGCATCGACGGCCAGATGGCTGCGTTCACCAATGTTTTCCAGGGCAACAAGGCATGGTCATCTAGCAGACACACCAATGATGTTGCTTTTACTGTAATTGACTTTTGATTTACGTTTCTGGTATTTCGGATATTTGCATTGCTTAGACAGATTGGCCATACGCTCACTGAAACTATTGCAATACTTTTCGGCATACTTTTTAGCTTGATGCCCCAACGTTTGATTGATTCCACGCAGAAAATCTGGTCAATTTTGTTCAAATTGGCCCACAAGTTGCTGTGGCCTCGCCTCAGGTGAGCGAAACTGGTAACAGTGCACCTGTCTCTGGCAAAAGGCAAACTGCCATCTTATTATACAAGCTCATTGTGGTAACTGTTATCTGGCTGCGTAGTGTAGGGGTTATCACATCAGATTCTGACTTTGGGAACTCCGGTTTGATGCCGGCTGCAGCCTGGTCTGCAGCAATCGGGCGCTGGTTTATTGTACATCAGCTTGATCCCACCTTTGATAAAATCTCTGCCTTTCCGGTAGTCTGCCACCATCTCACTTCACCTGTGGCATGCTGTTTTAGCTGGATGAAGGACTTTTGGCTGTCGCATTCAAAAGTTTGCTGAGATGCCTGGTTTGGCTGATGCGTGCCTCTGTGTGAGACGTGTTTGACCGAAACGCATTGTGGTTAAGAAGCTTTCCTCCTCATGAACCGCATATTCCCAGCAGGTGGCTGATTATCACACCACATTTCTGACACAGTCCTCTGCTAAATACACCTTATGAGATCTCCTTTTCATCTTCAGGGGCTCATCTATAGTCTAGTGGCAAAAGGGATAAAACAAGTCTTTAAGATGGGAAGCTCCTGGTTATTAGCAGAGCCAGTACCCTGGATTCAGCTCAAACTAAACAAAGATGGATGAAGTGGTTCAATTCTGTCTTTATTCAAGGACAGCTGGACCAAGTGGAGTTGCTCAATGAAGAGTACCCCACAGGCCCAGGTGCAAGCCCTGACTGTCCAACATGGTGACCAACAGGCAGCAGTTCAACAAATGAATGCCCTGAGGCAGTATGGCATCTGCCAGTATCACAGAGACAGAGCTCAATGTGAGAACCATCCAGATAGGAGAAGGAAGAGAAAGGAAGGGAAGGAAACCTCACCCCAGCTTGGCATACACACACTGGCCTGGGGAAATCATACCTCTACTAGCTTGGTCTGGTGGCACTGTCCTAAGAGGACTCCATCCCCAGCTTGGTCTGGTAGCACTGGCCTGCGTAGAAACACCAAAGAGGAAAGAAAAGGATTGGTTTTTACCCACGTAGGATTTATTGAGAGAGAGTAGATAGATATAGAACAAAAGAGGAGAGAGAGGGAGTATTTATAGGAAAGGGGAGGAGAGAAAGAAGAAAAGAAGGAAGAAAGAAAGATAAGAGAAAAAGGGAAAAGACATAACAAAAGGAGAAAATGAAAGAAAGAACAATTTGGAAGGATGAATCACTCTTTCAGCCACACCCCCTCCACCCAGTGTCTCTTCTGCCTCCAAATTTGGGGTGAACATAATTTGAGGCTTTGAGGCCAAATCAGTGCAGGGACAGTGGATTGAAAGGTGAGAAAATGAGAGAAACAGGAAAATGAGTAAAAATAAGAATGAATAGGATGAATAAGGGGTGTGCCCTTTGTGCTTAGGCCTATTCAGCACAAGGAACACAGGATGCTCTTTTATAGTGATAAACACTAGAGCCTGTGAGGGATGTGATGAATGGTAATAAAGATAAAAATAAATATAGGGGGCCAATATAATGACATAGTCACAACTGGGGAAGAGCTTTTAAGGAGATCCTAGCTAAGACCATGGTCAGTGAGATTTGGAATCTCACAGCCTGCAGAGCCATAGTTGTGTGCTGGTTGGGCAAAAACAGCACTTGCAATTGTGGAGTGGTGGAGTTCCAGAGTTGTAACAGAGTAGCTGACAAGCAGAGTGGAGTTGCAGAGTTGCAGGGTTGCAGAGTTGCAGCAGCGTAGCAGAGCTGCCAAGTTGCGGCCAAGTTGCAGAGAGGCAGCGTCCCAGCGTCAGGGGGTTGCACAGTTGCGGCAGAGCAGTGGAGTCGCAGACTAGCAAAGAAAATCGGATTTGCAGATTAGCAGTGCAGAGTGGATTTGCAGAGTCACAGAGTTGTGGAGACAGGGAATTGCAGAGCTGCAGAGTAACGGAAGAGTAGAGCAACGAGGCTATAGAGGCACAGTGTGGAGGCCTGGTGAGACTGCCGACTCCTGGCAGACAATGGGCGAGGTACTCCAGGACAATGTGAGACAATACTCACTCCTTTGACCCTAGGATCTGGGCCCTAGAGTGAGGGAAAGCAAATAATAGGCTAAAACTAACTTTATTGGGCTGTTGTCTAGGGGGTGTTTCAACCCTACTATTCAAAAAAGTATAAAGGGAGGGCCCTCCTGGGTCCCCCCTCCCCTTTTCCCCACTTGCCCATTCAACAAGAGTGTATAGAAGTTCAAACTCCTAAGAAGCTACACCATGGCTGACCGTGTACCTGACACCGAACACGATGCTGATGGGCCTGCCTCTGTGGAAGCAGGTTCTGACACGCTGTCGCACCATTGTCACACTGGGTGATGCTACTGTTGTTGCTATTGCTGACAAGGCCTTAGGCAATGAGGTGGTGCACCAGTATGTATCATCACTAACTCTGGTATAAGGGTATTGTCGTTGATGCTGATGGTGACGATGACGAGAGTGGCCTTCCACAGCGAGGGTTCTTCCAACTCAAGGCCTCTTTGATGAACAACCCCCCATTTTTTCCCCCCAGGAGGGTCCTTTGGAACCGAACAGTCGAGTTAAAAGTCCTGAAGAGGGCCACACCACTTCCGCTATCATGCTGACAGCAGAAGAAGAATTACCAGTGTCTTGCATTACTGAGACCCCAGAGGAGGAGGACTAGGAACAAATTCCTCCCCCACTCGCGTATTTCAGTGACACAGAAAGTGAAGATGAGGGCATGAGTGCATCTAGGCAGCCCTGCCAAGCAAGTGTGTCAACTGCCCCCTTCTTCACAGCCTCCGACCAAGTTGTCGTTGCTCCTACCTCTACCAGGGTAGAGGCCAACAACTCTACTGACCCTGTGTCACCAGACCTAACACCCAGCCCTGCTGGCCTGGAGCTGCCCACCGAAAGCAAAGCTGAAGTGACACAGCCTGAGGCTATCCCAATCTCCTTGGTTTCTACCCCAGGAAAAGAATTGAGTGCCCCGAGCGCATATCCGGAGACTTATGTCAGTCTCGACAACCGTGTTGCAACAGTAGCCTGCGTTTCAGCCTCGGTCCAGGGTTGTATTCTTCCTGACTGCCTTGTTGATACCAGCTCCAATCACAATGTTGTGACTACTGTGTTTCTGGAGAAGCTACGCAAATCACCTGTAATGACTCCTTTGAGTCGACCTGTCATGAATAAGGGAATAGGCGGACAAGTGCCAATTTTGGGTCATGTTTACATGAAGGTCAACTTTGGAAGAAGTGGTGCCTGTGCAAAATGGTTCCGCTTCTCTGTCGTCCCTCATTGTCCCCGCGCAGTCATTCTTGGAACACCTGTTCTTAAAGATTTTTGCACCATTATCTCTTTTGAACATGACACCCTAATGTGGAAGGCTCAGGCTCCCTGTGGGGTCACAACATGGTTTAAAACTCCTCTCCTCTCTTACCAGCGTGTCACTGCCGGTAACGAGACCAACATCTCCCAACAGGACGAGGCTGTTGACATTGTTGTTTCTGAAGACATTGTCCTGGACCCAAATCACAGTTGCGCCGTTAAGGTTCAGCTCTCCCGTCCTAAGATTCACAGGAACAGCTTTGTTCACACAACGCCGTTTGCATCCCTCATGGATAAGAAAATACACTTCCCTGGTTCTCTCCTCACTGCTGCTGACCTACACCACCATGATGGTGAAACTCGCTGGTTCTACGTACCCCTGCTATGCTTGCAGCACAAGCCAGTACGGATTGCGGCAGGAACCTGTGTTGCCTGTATCTTTGATATTCCGTCCAGCTTGGATGGCTCTGAGGCCACCACACCAGTGCTGCCTGACCCAGAGAGTCTCCATAACTCTCCTGACGACCTTGCTATGTTCAGTGTTGCACAGAAGTATGAGCCTGAAGACTTGGAGTCCTTCCTTAGTGCCCTCGACAACATCGAGAAAGGTACCTCTGGTCTGTATGCTGAGGCAGCCCCTAATCCCTCTGAAGACGTTGAACTTGTGGAAGACGTCTCTGAGGCTCCACCTCTTCCTGACGCCGTTGAGGATGTTTCCGTCTCTTTGAGGAGGCAGAGGAAGACCCTGGTAATGAGTCTGACGCTGAAACCCTCCTTGCAGAGGACAATGGTTCTTCTGTTGCTGATATGCCACGCCGAAATACTACACACACAGACAAGCTGGAGTACCTTCCAGCCAAAGCCAATGTGACTGATGAAGAGATATGGGCTAAGTTGAAAACAAAGCATATTGGTGAGATTTTTGGTGAAGAGACAGTCACCTGTCTAAAGATATTAGTGGACAAGTACATTAATATCTTCAGGCCTGGTGTCATCACTGGTTCTAAGTTCCCACCCCCCCACACTATTGAGTTGCAAGAGGGTGCTAAGATTCCTGCTAGTAACCCCTACCTGGAAGGACTTGGGCGCACAGAGGTGCTCCGAGACCACATCGCCCAGATGAAGAACGCTAATGTCATACGTGAAAGTCGCTCTCCTTTTGCAACACCTGTAGTCCTTGCTAAGAAACCTGATGGCTCGTGGCGCTTCTGTGCTGACTTCAGGAAACTGA